GGCTCGGGTAGGCGGCGCTTGCGACTGAGAGCCAGTGGTCGCTCGTCTTCGTCGTCCCCCATGGCCATAGGCTGCTGCTGGACGACGGGAAGACGGAAAGAAAGGACAACGGACAGAGGAGTGAGTGCCTTTCTCGATCGACCTGTGAGGTGCCTGCCCTGCCTACCCACCAACGTCGCCGGCGTCGGGCGATGGCACCAGCTGGTCGCCAGCGTTGCCCAGCCGGCTGCAGCTGCAGGGCCGCCAAAACCTAGATAGACACACACACCCCAGAGAGAGCATTGCCAGTGTGCGTACGTGTGTGTGTGGGTGCGTGTAGTCTGTTCGCTCACCGATAGCTATCGCATCATGGATCGGGTCGCCAACGCCATCATCGGCCGGCGGGGGCGGGGCAGCGGCGCATGTGGCCGAGCTTGGCCAGCTCGCGCCGCATGACGGCGTCGAACTGCCCCGCCAGCTCGACCTTGAAGCTTGCCGCCTGCACCCCGACCCCCCCTCCCCCCGCCAGCACGTCCTCGTCGGCGGCTCCCTGCAGCACCCTCGCCGCATCCGCCAGCTCCCTCCCGAGGGGCAGCTTCCTCCCGTCGACGAGGGCCACGCCACGCATGTCGATGGGGCTCCTGCGATGGACAGCGCGCCCTTCTCCGGCTGCTGCTGCTGCTGGAGGTGTGGGGCCACCGATCGTATGGCGGCAGGCATGGCAAGGTCTGGGTCGTTGACCTGCTTCTGGCGTAACGCTCGGGGGAAGAGGGGAGTCTGTGCGGCAGAGGAGGGCTCGGTGGGGCTTGGCTTGCCCTTCTCGCGGGCTGGGCCCTTCTCGCGAGGGGTAGCTCCTTCCCGTCGCGTATCGTGACGAGGAACCGGTCCTCTGCGGCGTGGCTTCGTCGCTTATAGGCGATCATCGCCTGCCCAGAGGACACATGGGAACGCATGCAAAGAAACGATAAGAATGGCATCCACATGCAGCTTGCAGTGACGATTTCTCGCCATCCAATGCACTTCGTTCGTCCCTCTCCGCACCCTGCGTGTTCTCACTCACCGTCGGTGGACAGGCTGCTGATGCCGCTTCTGAATGGTGTTCTGAATGGCGAGTTGGGCGCTTCTTGGCTGCGGCTGCAGGCGGCGGGGCGACGGTCTCGTCCGGCAGGGCGAAGCCGGCAATCTGATGGATGGATGGATGGATGGGCCACACCCATAACATGACACGGAGGGAGGAGTTCACACACGTATGATGTGGGGGGTGTTTTGGTTGTGTTAATTGACGGATGCGATGCAGACAGACCTGGATGACGTTCTTGAGCGTGGTCTTCTCCCTCTTCTCAACATTGCCGCCGCTCTTGACTTTGCCCACACACACACAGACAGACAGACAGACAGTGACGCCCCCTTGTCACCCCACACGTCTGCATATGTGTCTTACGGGCGCGTGGTGGGCTGCTTACATGTTGATGAGTCTGTTGATTGGGTCTGGATGCGCCGGTAGTCGCGCGACGGCAGCTCCCCGGAGGGCAGCGATGTCACCATGTCGACCAACTGGCGGAACCTGAACTGGAAACTCTGCCGCCTGCCGTCTGCACGCACACCACACACACCGGGCATCTGGTTGGTCTGCTCAGTCAGCCACTTGTCCACAGCGGCCTTTCGGGTCTGGATCAACTCCTCGCAGACCTCGTCACACACGGGGATGTCTTGCGTGTGCCAGTGGTGGTCCAGCACGTCGGTGACCTCCTCGGCCTTGGCGTACCACTCGGCGGGCAGCTTGGCGCGCATCCTCTGACAGAGAATGGAACAGACGGAGAAGAGACATCAGCGAATGTTCATGAGCCTCTTCCTTTATCCTTCACTCACTGACCTTTGGGGCCGCCGGGATGTCGTTATGCGGTCCATGCACACCAGCCGGCGTCAATGGGGTAGGAGAGGCCCACAAATATAAAATGGAGACAGCGATCCATCTGCACACACAGACACGGGGCGTGTTGATCAGTCGGCTTTGAGCGCTCACACACATACCCCTTGCAGATGGCTGGGACAAGGCATCGCGATCCAAAGTTGTCATCAGTCGTCAAATATAAAATGTAGACAACGATATCTGAAGGGACTCGCTCCGAAACCTTCGACGCGGATGGCAGGCTTCTTCTTGCGCACCAGCCTCTTCTTATGCTGCCCGCTCCTGCGACGCCTGATGGCGAGGACAAAGGTGCGCCGGATGGCGGCGTGCCACTCGCGGCCGTCTGGCCGCTGCACGATGCCCTTTTTCACGGCGCGCATGAATGTGGCGAGGGGGTAGTGTTAGCGGGGCGGCGGAAGGATGAGGCACTGCTTGGGGGGCGGCGTGGGGGTAGGGGGAGGGAGGAGCAGGGCATGCCCCTTGATGCACTCGAACCACAGTGGGACAAAGGACGACAGACTCGAGGCCCCCTGCACCATGCATACACACAACAGAATGCATTGCATTGATCTGAACTGAACGCCTTCCTTCCAAGTGTCTGTCAGCCCTCACCATGTCCTTGATGGACGAGATGAGAGTCGCTGTGACATCGGCTGGCTCGTGCAGCAACGCCTGACACACGAACATAACAAGCACAGGAGAAATGCGTATACCCTTCCGTACACACACAGCGACAGACACGCAGACACGCATCAATAGAGTAAGCCACCAGCATGCCATGCCGCCCCTCACCTTGAATCCGATCACGAGGTCCCTGAGCCGCTGCGCCTCGAGACACTGCAGCAACTTACGCGCCAACACACCTGACACGTCCATTCATCGAATGAACCAATGAACGAATGAATGCACTCACACGAGCACCCTCCCCACCCCTCCCTCGTCCTTCCCTGGTTCTCTCTCACCATAAGGAGCCGTCCGGTGGGTGGCACCCTCCTCATCAGGCGGCCCTCTCCCCGTCCCCCGCAGCCCATCGTCCTCTGTCCCCCTCACGGGCATCGTCAGCACCACGCACGGCAGCTGAGCGGCCAACCCCTCGTTGGTGTGGTCTTAAGACATCTGCGCGTTCTTGTTGGGCGAGGGCTCGACAACAGAGCGTGGCACTGGCGACTTGGTCTGACTCACAGAGAGATGGATGGATGGATGGCACGTATGTACATAATTGTGTTTCTTTCTGTCCACTCACTCACCCGTGTGTGTCCTCCCGACCATCATCCATGCCGTCCAACCCATCTGCTGCTGCGCCAGACGGCTGGGCACCCTCGTCGGCCTTCTCGCCTCTCTGCCCCTCAGCCCCCGCCTCGTCGGCCTTCTGCTGGTCGGCCTCTCGCTGCTGGCGCGACGGCTGGGGGTGAGTGGATGGCGAGGCGGGCTCTGTTGGCTGCTGGTGCAGCAATCGCCGTGGGCCATCGGCGTGTGGGCCGGCAGGAGAGTCGCGAGGCGCGGGGCGGCTGCGGACCTCATCGCCCCTCGTGTACTACCGATTGACACTAGCCCGCAACTCACTATACCCTGAAAGAAGGCAGACAACACAGAGGGAGGGAAGAGGGGAGGTGAGAGGGTACGTATGTACATGCATCGTGAGAGCTGTTCGTTGTCCGTGTGTCCGTCCTGTGCTCACCTTCGGACACCATTCTGCTGCTGCACAGGACCTTCTCGACGACCATCACCTCGAAGGCTGTTGCCAGGAGGCTGCTGACCCTCTTGCCCAGCGCCGCCCTGCTGACGGCCTGAAGGGAGACAGACCAATGCGCATAAGAAACAAATGCGTTGCCGTGCCTTCTGTACGCACCTGGTGGTGGATGCCGTGCCGCCCTCGTCGTCCGTCCCCTCACGCGCCCTCTGTCTGTCGGGGGGCGGTATGGCTGCTGTTGCCGCTGCCTTCTGCTGCCTTCCGATGCTGCTGTCACTGCTGCTGATGGTGTGGCGGATGGCCTCGGCAGCGGTGATTGATCCCTTGATGGACCGCTGTAGCAGCCGTCCCTGGTCTGCACATAGCCAGCACACACGACACACTCATGTATCAATCAGATCCTCTCTCTCTCTCTCTCTGTGTGTGTGTGTGTGTGTGTGTGGACGTTCTGTGTGATATCATCGTGTGTTCCTGGTCAGCTCCTTGTGGCCGCAGCCTTCTTTGACGTAGTCCACGAGCTCGTCCTCATTGCAGCCGTCCTTCGAGCTGTCCTTGAGTGCCCGCTCAGTCCTCTACCACCTGACACAGACAGACCCATCCGTATCCATCCATCCATCTATCCGTCCAATGTCGGGTGGGTGTGAGTGAGTACCTCGTCCACGAGGTGCTCCCGCTCGTTGCCATCCATATTCGCCGCGGATCCGACCAATAAACGGCCGCCGGTGCAGCCAAGTAGGCGTAGAGAAACAGATGATTCATACATAGAGGAGACATGAGCAAAATGGTGCATTATCCTCTTTGTTCTGTCTTCCTTACGCACCTGAGTGGCCTTCAGGATAAGGACAACGCTGGGGCCCAACGGCGCCGCCAGCTTCTCTCGCTGAGCTGAAAGACCAGACCAAAGGGACAGGTGCCAAGTGTTCGTCACAATGTGAAGAGCCCTTGATGACGTCACGAATGAAGTGGCTGACCCGCCTATTAGCTTCGCATTAGTCTGAATCAGCGAGCATTCTGAATTTCTGACACACGTGAGTACTCGAGTACCATTATGTCTCCCATGGGCATGTCTTCTCCTTGTTCAGGAGGCCGTCGTCGTAGTGAAGACTTCCCCGCCTGATGCAAGACACAACGTTGGATTGGTTTCATCGGTATTTCTTCCTTCCTTCCTCGCCGTACGTACCGCATTAGTGTTGCTGTGCCCATCGGCGTGGATGACGACCCGCCGCAGGGTATCCAACTGCAGATAACAAACAGGCAAGGAATGCAGCCACGAAGAGAACACAGTATGTAAATGAAGTAGACATGGTACACACATAGCTTACCATTCGGTGCGGCACCTTGAGGCCGATAGAGGCACCTTGAGGCCGATAGATGGCCGCCGAAGCGGCCAAGTATGCGTAGTGAAACAGAGGAAACACAGAGGAGACATGAGACAAGTCTGTGCTTTGTTCTCTTTTTTCTCCCTTATGTACTTACGCACCTGAGTGGCCTTCAGGATTATGCTTGGAGGCAACGCCGCCACAAAACTACTCTCGCTCAGCTGAAAGATAAGACAAAAGGGACAGATGTCAAGTGTCCAGAACAATCTGAAGTGCCCTTGATGACGTCGCGAATGAAGTGGCTGACTTACTCATTCACTCACAAGCCCCGCTTTATGTAAAAACACAGCTCGTTTCTCTATTTACAGAAAATTTCAAATTTCTGACTGATTCACGTGAGTACTCGACCATTATGCCCTCCATGTGCATGTCTTCTCGTCGGTCAGGAGTTTGTCGTCGTAGTAAAATCTTCCCATCCTGCCGCAGAACACAACGCTGGATTGATTTAATCGATCAAATCTGTCTTTCTCTGTTTCTTTTTTCTTCGGACCAATAATTGCATTTCTGGAAAGCAGCAGACAGGGAATCCGACGTGCACGTGAACACCAGATTGAGTAAGGCACTCACTGACCTTCCAGAAATGTGTCGAGAAAACGAGACGGGAACGAAAAGAAGAAATCACCACTTCATCTGCACACACTGAGATGGCGCACACCAATAACAAAGAAGTGCGCCATGCAGTCATCCCTGCACATCATCCAGACACCACTCCATCACCTCACCCAAGACACATGGCACACGAGGCCACACTCATGTACTCACCAAATGGAGGCGTTTTGTGCGAGAAGAAGGTGCATGCGCACTCGGCAGGCGCCAGGCAGTCGCCAGGCGTTCCACAGAAGGCAGGGCACCGCCAGGCGAGGCCTCGCTCCGGGCACGGTGGTGGAGGAAAAAAGTGGCGGGTGACATCCGGATGAGTTGGGAGGGGTAGAGGAAGATGCGGCGGACAGCACAAGCCAACGAGCAGCC